CAAACCACACCCACTGCCTGGAGTCCATTCTGACCCACAGCGCCCCTAGAGGACAGAGTGGAACTGCCCACAGGGTCTCCAAGGCTGTCAATCTTCATGGATGCAAAGCCCAAACCACACCCACTGCCGTGGAGTCCATTCTGACCCACAGCGCCCCTAGAGGACAGAGTGGAATTGCCCATGGGATTCCCCAGGTTGTAGAAGATGCCACATCCTCCTCCCACAGAGCACTTGGTGGTTTGAACTGCCAACCTCTCAGTTAGCAGCCAACCACTTAACCTCTGTGCTACCAGAACTGCAGTAATAAGAGATAACGTTAGAAACGAGACTTCCAAGGTAAAGAGTAAAATTTGCTGAGATAACGAATGATGGGACGTTTCAATCTGCCAACAATGGCAGTGCATAAAGCAAGGAGCAAACAGAACAGACGTCATGACTGCTAAATGCTGTGGGCAGACACCAAAGGCCAGGGGCCTGAGTGCCTCAGTACGATGACACACTTGGACACCTGCTCACTTAGTAACTTTGGGGTCATCTTGTAACTGACTCTGCAAAGAGCTCCTAACACTGGCTGCTCTGTCCACGGACCCGCGGGGCCCTCCTGGCCGCGCTGTCCACTGGGATGCGAAGACTGTCCACCCGAACCCCTGGAAACTAATTCAGGAGCATGGAGAGGCGCCCGCAGAGGGCCAGGCTGGAGGAGAGTGGGGTGTGCGCTGAGCCCAGCAGGCAGGCCCCAGCACCTTCCTCTTGCGTTGCAGCGTGGACGCAGCAGCGCCTGGTCGACGGAAGGCTGCGGGCTACGGCAGGCGCCTGACTCCACCGCGAGTCAGGACCCAAGTTCCGATGTCACTGCAGGTCTCTATGCTACTTCCCTGATGCCTGCTGACCATCAGACCCCAACGTGGCTCTGCTTGAAGTCCGGACAAGCCCAGGGAGAGGCAGCGTGCCCGCAGGCAGAAGAGTGCCCATTGAGAGGACTGGGAACTTGCCTCGGCCTGTCCTCACTGATGGGCCGAAAACAGCCTATCGGAGAGTGTTGTCTGTTGAAGTGAAAGGCTGGGGTCCTGGTGGCTGAGACTCAGGGTCACGTGCTCACGAATCACCCTCCGTGTAGCCAGAACCCGGGAACCAACCCTGGAATCCTTGTGAACTCGCTATCGTGTACGCGTTACAGTCACGGTCCTTGCCTGCTTCTGTCGCCCTGCCCGCAGCAGTGAGGGACCGGCCCGCCACCACTCGTGATTGGAGAGGTCCGTCACGGGCAGTGCGGTCCATGGCCGTGAGTCAGCGGACCTCACCGGCCTCGGCGCTGTGTGTGCCTCCGGACAATGTGTCTGTCCTGTTTAAGCTTCATAAAAAGGCCTCTAGAGAACAGTTTGCATCTGAGGCCTTTTTTCCCCAGCACACTCCTGAGGGGGACCTCAGGGGGCACAGACGTGGGCTCCCTTGGCCAGCCGCCCCAGCACCTCGCAGGGCAAGAGGGCTGGGAGGCAGCAGAGCAGCAGTGTGTGGGGGGACCACGTGAGGAAACGAAGTCCGAAAGGGGGCCCCGGTCAGAGGGCCGGCTGGGCAGACTCACCTTGCACACCGTCGGCGGCCAGTGGTGCACCATGATCAACTTCCGCCACTCGTGGGTGCCACTGTGGAGGACAGACAGAAAGCCTGCTGCCATGGGGTCCATCCCGACTCACAGTGACCCTCAGGACAGGAGGACAGGGCAGAACCGCCCCGAGGGTTTCCTAAGGAGGATGGGAGGGAGAAGGGCCCACGGAGGCTCGCAGGTGGGGTCTGGGCTCCAGAGCTGGGGGGGGGCTGCTGGGGTTTCCAGGCCGTGTTTGTAGCGCTCCTCAGGGCGGCCACAGGAAGCATCTACAGGGCTGTCTTGGGACACAGCAGAAAGGACATAAGGAGGAAGACAGGAATTCCCCAGGGAGGAGGAGTGGGGACATGCAGTGGGGTGGCAGGGACCCCTCACTGCAGGGACGGACTTGGCTGCAGGAGAGACAGGCTTGGGGTGGGGAGTGGGGGACTCAGCACAAGAGAAATGGACTGGGGGCACAGGAGGAATGGACTTGGGGTACAGAAGGGACTCAGAAGGTGGGAGGGATGGACGTGGGGGCCAACAGGGACAAACTTGTGGTGCAGGAGGGACTTGGGGTGCAGGAGAAACAGACTTGGGCACGGGTGGGACAGAGTCAAGTGCAGGACAGAGGGACTCAGGGTACAGGGGGGCACTGAGGGTGTAGGAGATACAGACTTGGGGTGCAGGAGGGAAGGACTCGGGGTACAGAAGGACTCGGGGTATGGGAGGGATGGGCTCAAGATGCAGGAGGGATTCAGGGTGCGAGGACTCAGGGTGTGGGAGGGATGCGGGGTGCGGCAGGAATGGACTTGGGGTGCGAGAAGGACAGATTCAGGGTGTGAAGACTCAGGGTGTGGGAGGGACGTGGGGTGCGGCAGGAATGGACTTGGGGCGCGAGAAGGACAGATTCGGGATTCAGGGTGCGAGGACTCAGGGTGTGGGAGGGACGTGGGGTGCAGCAGGAATGGACTTGGGGTGCGAGAAGGACAGATTCGGGATTCAGGGTGCGAGGACTCAGGGTGTGGGAGGGACGTGGGGTGCGGCAGGAATGGACTTGGGGTGCGAGAAGGGCAGATTCAGGGTGCGAGGACTCGGTGTGGGAGGGACACGGGGTGCGG